ATTTTTACTCTCCTTAGTGCATTTAAAAAATTTCCCCTGTCCTAGCTCCTGGTTTACTATTTCTGTCTTTAGCAATGTCTAGTCTGCTATTGATCTCATTTTTCTAAGATTGGTCTTTATTTTTCATATATATGTTTATGCTTCGCATACATGTTTCAGACATATGTATGTATCTGAAATTTTCAATTTACTTTTTATACATGTAAGCACAATAAGTATAGTGGATATTTTTCTGACACAAGTATTAGTATTTCTGGAAAATAAAGCCCCTGAAAATATTTATCTAATATTTCTACTAAATATTAATCTAATATTTCTGCTCATTCTTTTTCATTGATTTTATTCAATTATTAAAATGATCATTTTAACTGTGCTTATTACATTTGAAAAATCATGTGTAGGAATAACTGTTGCTTAATATAACATCATACTTCACATTTGATTTCCTTTTACTTCTACAAATCATCTCAGAAATATTAGCAGTCAGGAACCATTATAATCCAAGTTCAAAGACTAAGGATTTTGGGAGCCTTCAGATGATTTAAGGCTGAACTAGAAAATCTTATGAGGAATGGTTTATTTCTGATTCATCTTAATCCTAGGAGATAACTCTTTAGGATCTTACCCTAAAATGGAGGGTGGGGAATGGGTTGGGGAGTTAACATGATCCCTATTCTTGGTAGGACATGAACAACCACTTTTGTCCACACAGCCTTGCAAGGTTACCAAAAATAAATATCTCAGGCTCTCAGCCATTCATTTTGGACTAGTGAATACTCCTGGCACATCAGAAATCTTTAATGCTGGTTGTACTTTTCATGGTCTCCATCTTCATCTAGATCTGAGTCTTCATTATTGTTAACTCTTTGATCCTTTCAAGAATTTCTTTTTAAAAAATCATTCATCTTGTCTCAGATGTAAAAATCACCAATGGATGACCTGGCATACCATAATTACTGGATAAAATAGTCTAATAGATGGGGTAGGAAGTAGTAGGATTACTTTATAACTATAATTCTCAATATCATTCACCCCTACTAATTTTGTTTAGAGAAGTGAGTTATCTAAGATCATGCAGGGAGGCAAGTAATAATGTCAAAGCTAAAACTCAGGTATCCTATCTATATGAATATTTTTTTTTTCTTTTTCTTTTTCTTCTTTTTTAAACTGGGAATTAAACCCAAGGGATGCTCTACTACTGAGCTATATCCCCAGACCTTTTTTTTTTTTAATTTTTAATTTTTTTCATTATTTTGAAACAGGATCTCACTAAGTTGCTCAAGGCCTAAGTTGCTGAGACTGGTCTTGAACGTGATATCCTCCTGTCTCAGCTCTCCCAAGTTGCTGGGATTACAGGTGTATACCAACAAGCCTGGCTGAATGTTTTTTCTTTAACTGGAAGTTTTGTGTCTATTGTATTTAAAATGGTTAATAAATAGTTACTGAATTAAAGAATTAGTATATTTAAGTAATATAGATTCATTTAATGCTTCATAGTATGAACTAAGTTAAACTTCATTGCTTTTTGCTATTCATTAGCCTTCTTTAAAAAAAAATGTGGAATTCTCCTCTGGATGGTACTAATTTTGTATTTAGGGAAAACAGCCAGCAGGATTGATATATGCAATTTCAAACAGCTTCACATCCTATTCTGCTTTTACATTGCTCTGCCAAAGGTGATATCATTATCTCTTTCCTTCTTCATTTTAAAGCCCACAAAGAGAGTTTCCATAAATGCATATATAATTATCCAACTCCTAACTTCTAACAGAAACTAGGTGCACTACAAAACAAATCCTTAAAAAATTAGACTTGCCAGTCCTGAGTTTGAGCGTAAATCAACCCCATTGTTAACATTTCACCCTTCATAAAGAAGTTACATTTAAAACCCTCTGAGGAAAGAATATCCCTGGATCATTTTATTGTTAGAGGTAAGTCATTTTTTTTTAATCACAGGAACTACTTTTTGCCTAGAATTTAGACAGCTAGAAAGGCTGCTATTTCCACACTAACAATGAGACAAATGTAGTGCCAACTATAAAAACATATCTTCTCACAAATCCATTAGAGATCTGAGGTTACAGTACAACCAGTAAGGCTAAACTTTCAGAAAGGTAGGCTCGTTTAGGATAGAATGTAGCACTATTGTATCACCTGTGGCAGAACACAGGACTAGCATACAAGTGGCCAAAAAGATTTCAGCTAAAATACTTAACAATATTCTAAAGGCTAAGTACAGGCTACCATAAGATTATAGAACCCCCAAGAGTTGCAAACACAAAGAGAGACTTTGCATATTATAATGTTCTTCTCCAGGGACTTTAACAGATATTGAAAATTTCACTGAGCATGATAGTCTCCAGTTTTGTCCATTTACTGGCAAAAGTCATAGCTTCATTCTTCTTATGGCTGAATAATACTCCCTTGTGTATATATACCACATTTTCTTTATCCATTCATCCATTGAAGGGCACCCGGTTGATTCCATAATTTAACCATTGTGAATTGAGCTGCTATAAATATCAATGTGGCCATATGCTGATTTAAGTCCTCTGGGTATATGCTGAGGGGTGGGAAAACTGGGTCAAATGGTGGTTCCATTCCAGTTTTCTGAGGAATCTTCATACTGCTGTCCAGATTGGTTGCACCAATTTGCAGTCCCACCAGCAATGTGTGAGTGTACCTTCCCCCCACATCCTCGCCAACATTTGTTACTTATGTTCTTGATGAATGCCTTTCTGACTGGAGTGAGATAAACTCAGGGCAGTTTTAATTTGCATTTCTCCAGCTGCTAGTGATGTTGGATATATTTTTATATATTTGAAGACAATCATATTTCTTCTTCAGTGAAGTGTTTTCAGTTCCCCTTCCTGTTCCATTCAGGAAATTGTTAGTGTTTAAACTGCATCCAAATAATAAAGAAAATTATAATTTCCTGGGTTGGGGATCTAATTAATGTACTGACTAGATTAATACTTGCTTAACTCAATCATTTTCCCTATAAACTTTCTTAAATTGCATAAGCTTTGGGGGGGGCACCTTATATTTAAATTATAGAACTACTCTTTGATGAACCCAGCCTAGTTCCATCTTGGGATTCGGAGCCATCTCATCACAAAGTCATGAAAAGTTAATTTCTGTTTTACTATAAATTATTGTCATTTCTAAACTTGTTTGGAATGCTTGCCTTGAACTCAACCATGCCTGGCTTTCCCTGACCAGATAACAACTCTCTCTGAAATCTCAGTGGCATCTCATAAGCTCTGATGTTTGCAACTGAATTTGCTCCCTACCTTGAAATATGATGCCATGTAGATCATCTGCCTTTGTATTATGCTTGTCAAAATCCTGTTATCTGTGAGTTTTCAAGACACCCCCCCTTTGCAACTTTTTGTGCTATAAAACCTTGTTCCTGCAGCGCTAGGGGGCTGGTCTCTATCCTGTGTTAGGAGAGACAGCTGCTGATTAGCTCTCTTTGTGTACACAAATACAATCTTGCTTTAATTTGATTTAAAAAAAAAAAAAGAAAGAAACATTGGGATAAAAGCTGATTATTGAAAAACATCCCTCAGTTTAAAACAATCAAAATAATTCATCATATCAACACAGAATAAAGAAGCAAAAGATATGACCATCTCAACTAATGCAGGAAATTTTTTGACAAAAATTCAACATCCACATTTGATTAAAAAAAAAACTAGAAAAAGGAATTCCCTATACTTGATGAAAGATGTTTAAAAAGTCTCTACAAATAATATAATACTTGGTGATGAAAGACTGAATTTTTTTTCACAATTTGTGAAGGAAAGCATTCATTCATTGTCGAGGGAATAATTTTTCCCAACTCATTCTATGAGGCATTACTCCGACACCAAAACCAGACAAGGACACGATAAAAAAAGAAAGCTACAGGTGGACATTCTTGATGAATATACACATAATATCCTCAAAAATATCATAAAATACAATCTAACAGCACATAAAAAGCTCACTCACCACAATGAAATGGAGTTCATCCCCAGGATCCAAGGATAGTACAACATACATAAATCAATAGACATGATAGAGTATATCAACAGAATGAAAGACAAAAAGCAAATGAACTTCTTATACAAAAATGCATTTGGTAAAATTCAAAATTGCCTTATGATAAAGATTCTGACCAAATTAGGTATAAATGTATATACCTTAACATAATAAAGACTTACTTACAATAAGCCGACAGCTAAAATTATACTAAATGGTAAAAGTTTTCTAGAATTTGAACAAAGACAGTATGTTCACTTTCACCACTTTTATTCAACATTGGATTGGCAGTCCTAGCCAGAGCAATTTATGCAAAGAAAGAAATGAAGGACATCCAAATTGGAAAATAAAAAGTCAAATAGTCACCATTTGCAGATGGCATGATCTTACATACTTAAGACCCCAAAGACACCAATAAAAATCTACTAGAATAGATGAATTCAGCGAAGTTTCAGAATACAAAATCAACAAACAAAATCAGCAGCACTGTCACGTGCCAAACCAATGATCTGAAATAGAAATCAAGAAATCAGGGCTGGGTTGTGGCTCAGCGATAGAGCGCTCACGTAGCACATGCAAGGCCCTGTGTTTGATCCTCAGCACCACATAAAAATAAGTAAATAAAATAAAGGCATTCTGTCCAACTACAATAAAAAATAAATATTAAAAAAAAAGAAAAAAGAAATCAAGATAAGCAACCTTACAATCTCAAGGGTTGGTAAGGATGTAGAGAAACTGGAATACCCATACACTGCTCTTTGCAGTACAAACTGGCCCTTTCTTTCAAAGTTTTATAGTTTTCCCAAAGTGAGGACCTCTTCATACAAGAACCTCTATATGAGTGTTTATGGTGGCTTTAGTCATAATTGTGAAAACTAGAACAAAATCAAATGATCTTCAATGGGAGATTGGATCAACCATTTCCAATATATCCAACAGTGGAATACTACTTGGCAATAAAAAATGAAAAATAAATTCTTACCTGGCAGAGGAGATACTGTTATCACAAAGGTGCTTTATCCCAGGGCAAAGTTCATCTATCATACTCTGGATGTGCTGATCCCTGCTAATTCCACATGTGGAAAACTTGAATACAGAATTTGTGCTAGTGGGCTAAAACAGAAACAACTTCAAAAAGGAATATGAGTAATAACATGAATGAATCACAAATTATGCTAAGTATAGGAAAACAAACTTGAAAGGCCACAAAATTTGATTCCGTTATATGACATTCTGGAACTAGCAAGACTATAAAGAGAGAAAACTAATCTGTGACTGCTAGGGCCTGGGGCTAAGGTAAGGGATTACCTAAAAGAGGGCCTGAAGTAATGTGGTGATAGAACTGATCTGTATCATTATTTTGGTGGTAGTTACATAAATGTATAGGTTTGTGAAAACTCCTAGAACTATACTCTGAAAATTATGAATGTTTCACTATGTAAATTACATCTAAATAAATCTGATCAAATAAATATATTTTAATCATAATACAAACAACAAATATCACTGTGTTCTCTCTCCAACTTTGATCAAAGATCAGTTTCTGTCCTGAAAATGAGAACACAAAATTTTTTGTTCTGAAGCTTAAGGTTTGCTTCAGTTCTCTCTTCTGCTAATATATTCTGGAGTCCCTTGTTCCCATAAAATGACACATTTCTCCAGTTATGCTGCCCAGACTGTTATATAACTCCTTACCTTTCAAAATTGCTGTTCCAAATTCCTGAAACCTTGCGTCTGAACTTCTTGTCTTGGTTTCTTTCTTCACATTCAATTTCAATTTCAATAAACAGCATTTACTATAAAAAACAGTCACCACTCTAGCAATTAGGTATATAATGACTAACAATAGGGATATTGGTAGCAGATATATATATACCGCCTTTGCAAAACTCTGGCTTTATATATGAGAACATAAAAGGGATGCATAACATGTTCACTGGAGTCAGCCAAGCCTATTTTAATTTGGGTTAGAATAGGTGAATAGAAAATTACCCAAAGAAATGAAGATAAGAGAAGAAAGAAGTATTCCACATAGAAAGAGCACAGTCTGAAAAGCACAGAATTAAGAAACTATAAGGTGGTTCAACCATATGAAAGGGTTCCTTATTACAGGAATATACAGAGTGAGGTGACTGCTGAGAGATGAAACTAGAAATAGACTCAAGTCATAAAGAGCCTAATATATCATATGAAAGGGTTATCTTCCTATTCTGCACATAGACAATTATATTATATTACAATTTTAACTATTGTATGCTAGTTTTATGTGCACAGTAACTTGGGAAAATTATATTTTCAAATATAGCTCCAAATCTGGCTAGCCCTTGAAAGTAATCTTTTGGGAGCTCCAAAGGCTTGGTCCTTTTACGTTCTCTTTTCTGTGCTGATCTCCTAAACATGCCTTATATTTTACAAAATTAATTATCACTCCTCTGTATCCTTCCTCATCCATACCATACAGACTCACAACGTGGCTGATCATAAAATTAACATTGGTGAGCATAGATTCTTTAATCCTAGATGGTATTGTTATCTGTCCTATTATGATAATTGTTTTGCTATTATTATTTGCTTTGTTTTCCAAAGTCCTGACTTATTTTTATATGACTATTTATTTAATGTCTGAAAGGCATTTTCATATTGCATTTTTTTATTTTTGAAGAATTCCAAGTGCCACATTTTTCTGATAAAGCTTTCTTAGAGAGCCATAATCATCAGAGACCTTGACATTTCAGTCAATGTGATAAACAAGAGCTCTGATGACTTTTTTTTTTTTTTAAAAAAAAAACCACATGATAGACAAGAGACAGAAAAGGTCAGTTTTAATTATGATGCCTGAATTGTCTGTCATGGTTTATGTAGGTTTTGCTTCACAATCAGTATTGAATCAGAGAGAAATTAAACTAGGTGGCAGGCTGGGAGTTTCAAAGTAATGGCCTTTACTTTGCTATTTATATTCCCATATATCAATTGGACAGATACTAACATTGTGCTTTTCTTAAATACTCACAGTAACATTGTAAAACTTATGAAAAGTGTTATTATTCCTCACAGTGTTATAAATGAGCAGTATTGATCAAATATTTATTGATTAATATCATCACTCAACAGACATTTATATAGTCCATATCATTTCTCATGTGGTAGGTACTGAGGATTTAAAAGTAACCAATACAAAATTCATGAGTTCATGGTCTCAATCCATGGCAGGGTTAAGAGAGAGGTATTTTGGCAAAAAAGTAAATAAATGTGAAAAGAAATGAATTTGGTAAAAACAAAATCATGGTTGACAATATTTGAGAATCATTATGACATGGGAGTTTATGCTTTGGAGTCAGCCAAACATGGGTTCCTGACCTAGTCCTGACTCTTAGAGTTTAGACAAGTTAACTTCTCCAAATTTCAGTTCCCTCATCAGTAAAAATAGGAATGGTAATAATCAGCATTTCATTAGTATAATGAAATATCTGCAACAGGCTACTTTATAGAGAAAAAAAGGTTTAGTTGGCTCATGGTTTTGAAGACTGGAAGTCCAATCAGTATGGTACCACTCTGATGTGGGCCTCCCTTGGCTAAGTCAAATCATGACAGATATCATGGAGATATGGCGAGACCCCATGGCAAGACAGGAGGTGTCTTGCCATGAGAAAGGAGTGCTCAATCTTGCTATACCCTCTTGCAATAGCTCACTGGGATCCCATGAGGACTACTTCACTTTCTTATGAGGACAACACCTTCAATAACCTAATGACCCTGTACTAAGCCGCACCTCCTGAAGGTCCCACCATCTCTTAACACTGCCATTGGATCAAGTTTCCAACCCCTGAACCCTTGAGGTACAAGACACATTCAGTCTGAAGCATCATCCTTTTTCTTCTTATTTTTATTGTATTAGTTGATTTCTTATTATTTCCTGAATTCTCTTCTGTTTCTAGTAAAATTCAGCACTACCTAAGAGGAAAAAAAAAAAAAAAAACAAAATCATTTTAAAACTCTTCAGGAAAAAAAAAATCTCTTTAGGCAGCCAAGCAGGATTAGTATTAGTACTGCTGGTACACATCCCAATAGTCTAGAGTGGAAACAAAAACAATACATGTATAGCAGTTATTACCTACTTTGTGAGTCATCTAACCTAACAGCTGGCATCTTCTTGAACCAATGGGAGTCTTCCAAAACTGCTAAACATATGGCAAGATCTTAACATTTGACAAATACTATTGATACAAAATAGCATTTTTATTTTTGTGGCAGGATGCTGAAAATTATTTTCCAAATCGAAAAAAAAAAATTATGAATCTGATCCAGGGACTTAAAATGATCCTGAAGAGGATAGCCAAAATGGGATTTTGGAATGACCCCATATTATCAACATACTTCTCAATCTGTTTCTTTCGTGCCACCTGCAGGGGTGTTGACAGAACTGATTCCAAGAGGGCATTAATGCCAAAACTTGCCATTTCTTTTTATAAATGCCTCAAATGAAAAGGAAATATGCTACATGTTCAGTGCTAATAGCAAAACTTTTTTTTCTCTTTTGTAAAATTTATACAATTTAAAGAAAATTTGATCATATTTTGTTATTTTTAAATAGTCACATGTGATAGATATTTTCCTAACATAAGGTAAGGTAAAATAAAAATGATTTATTTTATAAATCATTTAGGCCAGCATCCTTTTCTATGATTTAGGTTAAATTATTAATGTCACAGATTGATTCAGTGAGGGTATAGTTGCCTTATAGACCCAGCATATTAAACAGTATCAAAAGGGCTGTAATTCTACAAAGGACAATGCATTTAATTACGGTGCAGCTGTACATTGCATTCGTCATCTGTTACATGAGTGGAAGCGGGGTAGGAACACCAAAATATCCCGGACCTATCATTTATTCTTAATCATCATAATCATCATTAATAATTATTCATCAACTCTTCACACATATCCTCTATCCTTTTGGACATGATTTGGCATCTTAAATATGTCATTTTTGTTCTTGAGTACTGACTAAAACCATATGGTTTACAGAGAAAACTTCAAGGAAACAGATCAGAGGATACATATATATATTAATTTCCTTTAGTGCAAAAATATTATGTTTGCATTTATACATATAGAAAGTTATTGCCCTTGAAAATGCACATAAGATCTTTCCTTGAATAAAAGCACCCTCTCTTTTGATACATAATAGAAAATACTATAAGTTATATAAGAATTATAATGTTATCAATACCAAAGAACAGTGAGGTAACCAGGTACGATGGTACATGCCTATAATACCAGCAACTCTAGAGGTTGAGGCAGGAAGATGGCAAATTCAAGGCCATCTTTAGCAACTTATCAAAACTCTCAGCAACTTAGTAAGAATTGATCAAAACAAAAAATAAAAGGGGTGAGGATATAGATCAGTGGTAAATTGCCCCTGGGTTTGAAATCCAGTACAAAAAAAAAAGAAAGCTAATAGAAGCATCATTTATCCCCTTTTTATTTTTTACTCATACAAACCTGGGAAATTATACTGTACAAATTTCTAGGATTACATATACATGGAATTCTGAAAAAAAAACATAAGGTAATATGTGAGAATTGCTAATGAATATGTTATCACCAATATAATACATAAAAGTCATATATTTCCAGGAAAAAATGTTTTCCACAAACTATACAATGAATAGTAAAGCTCAATATTCTTCTCAAAGAATGTCACATGAAATAACTAAAGTAATAAGCCGTGTCTGATGATAAATATATCTGATTTTTGCTTGATTTACTTTCAGTGCTTGGTATTTATTAATGCTGATTGTCCTTTACCTTTTCTCTTGATAAGATTGAAGACATCGTAGTACAATTATTTCAAGGACTAGCAAGATGGGAGTCACAGAAAACAGTACTAGCCCAAGTTAATCATAAACACATCTGCAAATAATTGAATCCACACTTAACTCTTTTATAAATGCTAGAGAAAGGTCCTTTTGATATCCCAGCATGCTAAATTATTCCCCAAGGAAGGTGTTCAGGTTCTTGTTAGCTTCAGTAGCCCTAGTTTAGTCACCTGTAAAATTAGGCTATTGAATGGAGTCATCACTAAATACTCTTCCAGCTCTAAAATGGTATGATTTTACATGGATGCAGAGA